AATAGACACCAAGTTGACAATGTTCAATTGTTGGTCAACCTGTAATCCAAGCTTATCACTTTTCAGAACAGCAAACGTCACATGACAACAAATAGTATGTTTCGAATACCTACTTATAAGTTATATATATAATATATATTAGGGCCAACACAAACCAAAAGAGCAAAACTGAATTAAACAGTGTTAATTAGCCTAACATAGTCTTGCTGAAAATAGAAAATGGAAAATTACATTGAATAAGCACATTGATAACTCAAAAGACAAAATAAAAACATTTTTACTGTGAATGTCACCAGTCATGACTAATACGGTCTGCAGTCAAAGTTAGGCAACGAATATAGTTTTTTTAGTTTTTATAATTACTATTTGTATAATATATTATACCACTTTAAACTACCTACTTTAGTTTACTCTTGCAAAAATTGCAATTTTTTATTGTTTCTTTTTGGAAACATTTTTATTTATGTCATACTACAATATTAGACAGTACTTAACATTTTGCAGCATTTACACCGTAACAGACATTTTGTGTACCGATTTCATGAAACGTCAAAACGATAACTGTTCACAAGATGGTAGCTGACTAAAGGAAATGCGCGTTTCATATATTGAGTTCAGCGAATTTTACCCACCAAAACGCCTTTTTGAAATGACAATAATATAATATGATACTTCCGGTGTAATTCGTGTTATCGGTACCGTCTCTGATTTCGTTTAGTCTGTCGTTTGTACTTTTCTTAGCACTCGACCTTGTGCACGTTGTCTTTTGTACGGTGGAGACTTTTTAACATAAAGGGGATACAATGATGCGACACTAACACTATTGTGATGATAATAATTAAACGACATGCGGTCGCCTGGCAAAGGCACTCGTGTAATGTGTTCCTCGAGACGACGGTACGTTTCCGTTGAAAACGATATTTAATTTAAACGTGAAATCCAAACCGAGATATGTCTCTTGTTTCGCCCACACACCAGCAGCCAAGGTATCAAGAGACTTATAAATACCGTTATCACACTCTTATCATCTTTGTGGAAAATTCCACGATACCGTTCATCACACACACACTGTGACTATATTACTGTTACTGCGCGCCATCGGCTATTAGCATAATCATTAAATTGTATTCATGGTTGCGACCCTTGTTTTTATGTGTGTCTGGGTGTATGTATTGTGTGTAGTTTATACGCCACGCAATAATAATAATAATTTAACGGCATGTAAAACGTTCGGTTTGCCGTACAGTGGCCGGCCATGCGAAACAAAACCCATAACGACGAAAAGCAAGGGAAATTATTTATCGCTTGTTGACACTATCGATTTTTGTTGCGGTTACAATAGCCGTTCGCACACGTGTACTACACTACTAGATGGTCTAGCCGTAGAGTTATAATATAAAGAGATGAACTGACAGTCATAATACAATATTAAAAAATGACTTTTTCCCGCATTTCTAATCCTATTTCTTCATCTTATTTCATCCATAATCACCCTATTGTATCCATCTCTTCTGTTGTTGACCTTGCGGTTTTCGTCTTTCTCCCTTTTTGAATTTTCGCCTTTATATCGAAGAAAAATGTTGTAAGGCTCTGAATACCTTAGGCTTTATCCAAAGAGTTGCTCACGAGTTTCATCTTTTAAAACCCTTAAAAAGTCTTTACTGCTCTTTAGTTCGTCCTATTCTTGAGTACGGTTCTGTTCTATACCTCAACTGATTCTGTCATGCTTGAAAGAGTCCAACGTAAATTTCTACGTTTTGCGGCATTTATCTTAAAAATTCCGCATTCTCCCCACGACTTAACTCCCATTCAAGATCTTTTAAAACTCTCCTTCTTATCTGACCGAAGACATGGAGCAAATAAACGTTTCCTTTTAAAAATTATATCTGGAGAGATAGATTCCTCTGTCTTACTCTCAAAGTTAACTTTCCGTATTCCTGCTCGATATACTCGATACACTGCTCCTTTTTTCATTCCTTCCACTTCTACTAACTATTCTCTTTATTCCCCCCTGATTCGTTTAATGCGCATTGCAAATAGTAATCCTGATTTCTTACTATCTTTGTAAATTCTGTAAATATGTTTTCATTTAGCCAATCTAATAAATTATTTTTCTATTCAGATATCAATTATGTACTTCTTTTTAATCTTTATTTTGTGAAATATTATTGCATGCTATATATTTTTTTTTGTAAACATAAATAGTACTTAAGTTTTTTGTTAAATGTTAATCTGTTAAATTTTTGTGTTTTGGACTAACGCCCGTATTGTAAAATAAAATAAAAAACAATATACTAGTTTGTATGCAAGAGCGAAGTAAAAAATAACGACTACGACCAGTATGACCACATTAAGGGGGAAAAAAGTCTTTATTGTTGAACAAAAAAAACAACTAGGTAGGCATTGTTGTTAATTAGTACAAATAAATAGCTAAAACTTATATACAAATTAATAATGATACATTTAATATATTTTATATAGAATTTAAAAACGATATTTCTTCAAAACACTGTTATCATTGATATCTTATCATCACCATATTAGACAGCGGTCGTGGAGGCCTATCGACCGACTTGGAATGATAATAATTGAGAGAAAAACAAGAAGAAGAAGAAGAAGGAAAAATAAGTTTAAAAACGGTTATTTTTTTTGTATATTTTATGCGCTAATAAATCACCCATCTCGAGACCCCCTAAACTGAATTATTCAAGAGCGGTAGTTGCTGTTGTTGTAGTACTGCGGCAATATTACAATATAGGTGGTCGCGGAAACCGCGCAACAACCGTGGCACATCCGAAGCGTTTATTCAAATGTGCACGCGGCCTATGCGAATTTAATATTTATATATTATTATTATTATTTCCTTCTTTTTTTTTTTATATGTATCGTTATGAAATGTATAGAAGAAACTATAACGAAGACGTCTCGTCGCGTGTATACAAATCGGTCGGCTGCATATTTTGGTGATATGATAAGGTTCTAATTCCCACAAAGATGGCGGAAAATAGTAACTTCAATTATCTCTATTTGCAGTGTGTACACTTAGCAATCTAGTTTATTACATATTATTGTATCAGTGCAGATAGATCAATCGGCCGAAAACAAAGGACATTTTTTAAATAGACTGTATAAATTATTCGGCAGATGTTTTACAATATTATCGTACAAACTCCTTGCCGATCATCGGATTTAAATGACGACAGACTATATTATCGAAGATTAGATAATTTCTTTTATCTAATCTGTGATATTAATATATGAAATTGTTAGGCTCGGATCTGCGGTCACACTGATTTCATTAATTTGTCCATGATTTATCAAATATAGGTATGACGGTGTCATCATCATGTTATCCAACCAAACCTAACCCAACATAACTTGCCTGTTTACCTTACCATACCTGTTATAACAATAATAAATTATATCTATACATTATTATTTTTAGTTGTGTGTAGATATATTTTATTATGTTTATAGCAGGTTTAGAACATGGCCGCCACGTTTTTGTTTACATTGAAAGTGACCCTTCTGCTTTCATCTATTCTGTGCTAAAGTTTCTATGATTTATCAAATATACAACGGTGTTGTCACCATCTAACCTAACATATTAATATGTACCATGGAAATATAACGTAGCATTTTCACTTTCCATGAAATTGACACACAAAATGGCTGCCTCCCAGGAAGTTTTTAATCTGTGTACGCATTCCACATTGTATTGAGTTCAGCGGTCACTGAAATAATTATTGTTAGATACAACAAATTTCATGTCGCCATTTTCACGTTGCACTTTCACTTTCAGTTAAGAGATAAGAGGTAAGTGATAAGAGACTAGAGATAAGAGATAAGATATAAACGACCTATCGTCAACGTCAACCTAACCTTTGTAATCGAAATCTAAGCAAACCTAACCCTAATCTAATTTTAGAATTTCGTGACGCTTTTCAACAAATTGGTCATCGCTAAAGCATATTATTGTATGTTGAAAGAACCAGCAACGGCGGTCCGTCTTGTGTATACAAAAACGGTATTGTTTGGCTAACTACGATCGATTGGAACAACACAAACCGCCGTCGCGGTGACACGACCAGACGTTTTTGTGGTCAACTTGAGACGGTGTCGAACCGCATGTTGTTGTGCGGTCATCGTGTCGAGGACAATGCCGGAGATGTCACAGGTCAAATAAAATATATTCACACTCAAACGTACCACAAAAGAGCGAAACAAAGATAAATGTAAAAAAGTAGACATTTTTTTTTAAAAGTAACCAGTTTTAAAATTTTCAAAAAATATACTTTTATAAATACTTTAGTTTATTTTTTTTTAATATTTTTTTTTGGCCACGCTGTATTTCTAGAATTCTGTGGCATCCAGAGTGTTGACCTCGTCCGGACAAATGTTGACGACAGAAAAACCAATTATATTTGCGCGGACAAAACAATACAAAGGCGGCTAATATAAGTTAAAAGCTACTAAAAGCATGGTCGAGTGGGCTGAACAAGCAAAGATCCTAAGTAAACGGCGACGGAAACGTTTCGCATTCGACCGTCGAAATTGGAAACGCCCGCCAAAGTGCGTTCCAGCATAAAGCAAAAAAAAGTATATTATATTTTTTATATACCTTAACCTCCACGTGGAGGCGAAATTAATTTTTTTCGCTTTTTATATTTTATTTTTGTGCTCGTTCAATAGAATTCGATTCGTATATTATACACAATTTCTTTCACCACTTTGATGTCTGTTATTATTTTAATTTAACAACCGCATTATATACCATTTTTGTTGCAAAATAATTTATTATGTTAAACAAAATCAGGGGTTCGAAAACACATCAAAGTAAATATTTAATGAAGGTCGATTGAATAAGGATGTTTCGCTATAATAGTATCACCAGCGTAGTATATTAATAAAGTTATTTAATTTACGTTATATATTCAATAATAATGTATAATATTATTTTACTGTATTTAGAGGCCTCGTCTCCACCTTTTAACGTTAATAAATAAATATATATATATACAATTTTAAAACAAACTATGGCTACGGTCAATAATTATTAAAAATATCTTGGGCAGTTATTATCCACAGTTTTGAAATATTATCAGCACACAATTGGTTGAAATGCATATGACGGTTTTCTAACGGTCGCGTTTGAATTATTTGGATCCACGCGAATGTCTGTGATTTTCCGCAGCAGTTCTAACAAACCTATAAATAACAATCGATCACACACACACACAGGTTAGCCAACGTAACAGAGACACGTTTTCAACGAAAAGCAAGTACTCACAGCATTTGTTGTCGCTCAAATGTCTTAGGGATTCTTTTAGAATACGTTTATAGCCTTTTTCTGTAACGATGTAAGAAGTCGGTATGCATTTCATTAGAGCGGGTAAAAAGTACCGTTCTTCTACGTTATTGTTTATCCAGCCGACGATAAATTCAAAGACCTAAATGTAATAAACATAACAATGGTAGTTGCAAAAATGTGGGGGTAAATATAATCTCATACTTACATTGTCTTCGGATTCGACTATAAGGTTATCTTTGCCAATGAACTCGATCACGTCGGAAAGCGGCAATCGGTATAGTTTTATCAACTCGGAGTCCAACTTCACAATGTTACTAAAAGAAAAACGCATATATTTATTTCATAAGTTTATTAAACGAACAGACCCGACGAGACTTATCTGAAATGATTTAAAACATAGTCGAAACACAAACTGTGAAGTATTTCGTTCAAATTGAGCTCAGCCAAAGTTATCACCAAGTCGAGGCAGTTGGTAGGGTTTAAATGACTATCGATGTACTCATAAAATAAATGTGTTGTGTCTTTTAATCCGAAAAAATCCGCAGCTTTCAGTAATTCCTAAAAAAAAATTATATCAAACTAGGGTTTTACCAATGGGACAGTTCAAATACAAACAGACAATATTTAAACATAGATTCTGGTAGAATTTCTCACCAAAAGATTTCCTTCCTCGATGTCCAATTCGGATGTGTATGCAAACTTGACAATCGACTTCAGAACTTCGGATTTGACTTCTTTTACCGGTATCTTACCGTTTCTACAGGGACTGTTGGCCAAAAACCAAGAGCTAGCCGAACCCAAGACGACTCGGTGAGCGGCAATTTCCGAACCGTCTTCGCATTCCAAAGTGACATCGCACAGGGTTTGTTTTCTGTGATAAAATGAAAATAAGATACAAATTTCAGCAAATTTTAAAAGCAGAGGTGCTTGTGCGCATATGTATATTCGATTAAGATGACAATATTAAATAGTTAACATCAAGACTTGTGCGCGACTTACTGGAAGAATTCGTAAAAACGTTTGTAAGATTTCGCCATGTCTTTGGGAAGTTTGCCGTTCGTTTTGAATAACTGTACACATTTGTAAAACTTAAAATACAATAACTTCTCCTGTAACATTAAAAACAAAAACAAATTATTTTATTTTCGTTTTTGTTCATTTTATTTATACTCAAAACTACTTTTTAAAAGATTACAAAAACGTTACAGCTTGTTATTGCTGTTAGCAATTTTATTTTCAGAAATATGAACAGTGTACAAATGTATTTCGAATGCTCACATTATGTGTATTTTTGTTGATTAGTAATTATAGTTTATTATATTCTAATGGATTTCTATTGAAAATTTGACATTTAATTTAATTCAATCAGATAGACAGTGTAAATGAAATATACAAAAATAAAGTAATTATTTAAAATACAATTTATTCATAAAATGTACCAAAAAAAAAACCCTAACAAATTGTATTACCTGGTTGTAATCTTCTTCGTTTATGTCCGCCTCGAATGTGTATGCAAATTTCGCTAATTGTCGCAAATCTTCGGATTTTATTTTATACATGCGAATCGTGTCTGTTTGGCTTTCTTTGAACATCGACAAAAACTCTGTGCTCGCCGAAGCTAAGACAACTCTATGGGCAGAAACAACAACACCATCGTCGCACTCCAAAGACACGTCGCACAGGATATTCTTTCTGTAAACATCAACACCGTGGTGGTCATCGTTAATTAGAACAACAATTATTTTAGACATATTTTCATTGTCTTGTGCGTGTGTGTGTTCAAGTATTAACGACCACGGGAAAAACGGCCAAGAAAATATGACCGAAGAAATTCAATCAAATTGACAAACAATAATTCAGCTCTCATTTTATTTGCCCACACAACAGTTAACAGCGCGCTTATCAACTTCAGAGACCTTGTATGTACTAATTGTATAAACATAAAGGTTCATTATTTGCATAGCCATTTAGACCGTTTCCCTGATAATCTTGGGAATACTAGCGAGGAGCAATGTGAACGCTTTCACTATATCTTAAAAATAATAGAAGACCGATACCAGATAAGATCCAAAGACACTACATTAATATAAATATAAATCAAAAATTGCAAAGAAAACAAGATTTCATAGTGGAAAATAACACTCATTTATTTAACTTATATACTCATGTGTGTGTGTGTGTGTGTGTAATTTTTCACAAGTATATATTTTTTTATTTTATATTTATGAAGTGTGAAATATTTTTTTTTAAATTAATTAAATAAATATCGTAATTTATTATGCAAAAAATGTCGCCGTTTGCGGAGAAAGTAACTAGGTTTTTTTTTAAAATAATTCAAGCTTCAACAGCGTCGGTTAATAGCTTGAAATTATTAAATAATTATTTTTCATAATTTTATACTTTATTTGACAAAAAACAAAACACTGACTGACCAACATGTCTATCAAAACCATACCGAATGTATTGCATTTATTTCTGAATATGTTAAAGCTTTTTCATGTATTGAAACATCACTAAATTGATAAATTTCGAATGTAAAAGGACATTAGACACACTCAAGTCTATCAATTTAACTTTTTTCGTTGATAAAATTGGTAATTTCATTTTTTTTTTTTTTAATTGCTATATTATCTGTTGGGTAAACTTTTTCTCTTGCCTAATAATTTACCTGGCCATTTCAAGTGTGATAGTTTTTTCCATAACCGTTTTTACTTAGGTTCATAGTTTATTACTTCTTGTTTAAATATAACTTGAACTAAAAGTTCAGTGATTAGGCTAAAAGTTTAATGGTATAAAAAAGCTGAATGATACACTTGATAGTATTATAAGAATTTAAAAGTCTTATTAATGATATGCGACCAATTAACTACTAAATGGAAGTAAAATAATATTTCGTTTTTATTATGTTTTTTTTACATTGTTAAAAGTTAGTTTAGTGCGTACAACTGGCGGTTAAGTTTGGAAAGTAAGGCTTTGGGGAAAATAAGGTTTATTATCAATAGCTACATAGCATTCAAAAGTAGCCAGTAGGTAAAACATTTTTTTTGTTAAATTCTAAATGTCATCAGAATATTTTAAAATTTGATTTTACTTTAATCCAATAAAATTTAAATTTGTATATTTTTTATATTTATAACATTTTATTATTTTAACAAGTAGTAAGTGTGTAGATTAGAAACCGTAACCAAAAAGATACTTTCTGAGACAAAAAATGAAAAAAAAAAAAAATTTCCCCCAAATGTTTTAATGTACTTAGTTTTTTAATTTTTTTTTTTTTTTGGTGGGGAAATAATGAATATTTGAGTAAATTTGTACAGACATTTATAAAATATTCATATGATCTAATTAACCATATATAAATAAAGTGATATAGTTTTGAACTTAAAAGTCTAAACAACCCTCTGAAAGGGGTGAGTAGTTAAAACCAAATGTTCTATAAAAGTCTTGTCAAAGTAATAAACAAAATAGCAGATATCAGGATTGAAAATTTAAAAAAAAATGTTTCTCCATCTATATCTAAGATCTATCCTAATATATATACTTATAAGTATGTATATGATGAGTTCATTTTTTCAGTAGATTATTCTGAACCTTAAGAATTAATGATATACAACGCTATTACATTTTTTTTTTATTTCTAAAGGCTGTAGTTTTGTTTTAAAAAATTAGATTAATATAATACAATACAGATATAATTAACAAAATATGTATTGTATAAAATATAAAAAAAATGGTTAAAAACTTGCTGGAAGAATTCATACAACTGTACATAACGTTCTGCTATAACGTCCATTCTGAAACTTTAAATACTTGCTTCGGCCACGGAATAGGTATATTATTTTCTGAAACACATATTTCAAACATGAAATGAGACATTACATTAAATTATTCACAAACAGTTGACATAGTCGAGGATGATTTTATTAGGTATGTTTTTATAATGGAAACCAAAACATTTATACCTTACTTATAACTGTTATTACTAATATTGTAGTTTATTTATTTCTTTATATCAATTCATATGTGTATTATTACTGTTATTATTATTGTTTGTTGTATATTTTTTAGCTATATATACCAATACCATGTCATATGCAATAAAAAAAAACATAAAGTTAAACTTCAATTTGTACATATATATGTGTAGCTATAATATATTTTATTGTTAAAATAAAAATAAATTTTTTTATTTATTGTTAAGCAAACTATATTTTCTTTTCAGCTCGGTTTGTATATGATTTAAGACTTAAGAGGATTTAAAGCGAACGAGTTCTAAAGGAATATTTTATAGACAATATTTAAGAAATAAAAACATTCTTTGCTAAAAAATAAAAAGGTAAATTAAAAAGTAAAAAATAGTCTACTACAAAAACAATTTACTATTCAATTGTAGCACATTTTTTTTTTAAATGTCAATTACTTTAAAAACAACAAAAAACTAACTTCAATTTAAAAGAAAAATGTTAAACAACTGTAATTTTTGAATAAAAAAAAACGTGGGCCCTATTCAACAAATTCCCTTATAAATTTATCAAATAACATTTCAGATAATGTTTTTTATTGTAAGTTTTTATTGTTATTTAAATTTAGTTTAGTATGAGTGTGTGACACATACATTTCATAACGCTTAACTTAATGCATTTGGACTTTGTTGAATAGGGCTTATGCTTTTTTTCTTAATCAAAAATTCAAGACGTTTAACATTATTGTAGTTAATTTTCGGTTGTTTTCAAAGTAATTGAAACTTTTCAGTTGTTTTCACTACTTTACTAGGTTATGTATAAAACTGATAGTAATTTTAAACAAATTAGTTTCTTGTAATTAAATACATTAAATTTAAACATTTTTTAAACATATAATAAAAAAACTATTTTTTTTTTACACAAAAATAACAAAAAAAAATCAATAATCCGTTTGCTATATAATCTATTAAAGTAGCCAACTAACTCATACCTCTGGGAGTAGCTGAAACAAACCACTTCAATCCCCTTAAGTCTTAAAAATACTCCAAAAAAAAAATAACCGAATAAAAAATATTGCATACAATTTACAAAAAACCGTATCGAAACTAAATTATTGTTGCACGGTGTTTAAACCGGTTGTAGTTGATATTTTAAACTTTCAAGTGAATAATATTATGTTAACTCAATATATTTTAATATAAACGTTTTAAAAGTGATAGAAAAAAACATTTTATTTTCAAACTTACCTGATAGTGCAGTGCTCGAGGTTTTTTGTCAAATCCACTCATGTAACAGCTAGCGTTGTTAATTTAGACAACAACAATCCGAACGAAAATTATTATTTTACAAATAACCAAAACCATATTGTATAGGTACGGGTTTATAGTGGACAATGATAATATTAACCTTTTTGGCTAGTCGTAGAACGTATAATATTAGTAATATAATGTACCGTGTTATCGAGTTTTCCCTTTACTATGATAATATTTTGCTGCGGTGTAGCCTTTAAGTATAATGTGTGCACACAATAATATATATTTTTATCTACACGGTTAAATTGCACCACTCTTAAACCGTACCTACATGCGATAATTAACCGGTTGTCACTTAGGCGGGTACCCATCCGCTTGTGACATGAGATATACATACATATTATACGGGGTGATGGGCTAACCATGATGACCCAGCCAATATAAATTTGAATCAATCAGTTCTATACTTTCATAGTTAGCGCTCTGCTATTCTTATATAGATTAGTGGTGAATTGCAATGGAAGTTAGATTAACAACATAGCTGTAGCCCAGTTAATTATTTGATTCGTACATTTTATTTAAATTGAACCGTTAGGTTGATAAAAGGTAAATGACAAAAGAAGGTAGAATGGAGGAGATGAATTATTTCTATATAACTAGATAAATAGATCTTTATGATACAAATATAATAATGAGTATCATGAAATATTATCTATTTAAATGAAATAAAAACCATAAGATCCACAGCTTTAACCGCAAAATATAAATATTATGTAATTATATGTATGTTGAATATTTTAATATAATAACAAGCTAGATTTGACTTAATGTTTAACCCCTTTTGTCCAATTCGTTAGTCAAGTTTCGTCCCTTGACTCTTCGTTTTTTCGCAATTCAAACCTAAAAACAGTAAAATTATACTCATATATTAATTACTAATGTTTAAGAGGTTTGAGATTAAATTTATAAGTACAATAACAATGCCGACAATTGTTATTAAGGCTAAAAATGTTACCATAATTAAAAAATAGTCTAAAGTAGAGTAAAATATTATCGTTGACGAAATACTTACATTATTTGTTATTTGTCAGTAATATATTTACTATTTAAAATCGTGTTTATGACGATTTTGGCAATTTAAGATTAAAATAAAAAAACGTACCTATATTAGTAAACTAATATTTTCAGATCTGCTCATAAAAAATATATCGTTAAGGTATTATGGAATTGACATAATGATAAATAACAAATAATTATAGCACATATACCACGGTTCTATGTTAGTAAAATATAATTAATATAATAATATCTAATGAATTCAGCTGGACACCATTGAAACAAAATAGATGAGCATACCGGTTTAGAATATTTTCCATAAATAATGACCATCAATTTTCCTCTTCTTCTTCCTCTCCTAATTCTTCGGCCAATAGGTTCGACATAGATTTGATGTGGTCTATTATATTACCTTAACTTTCTATAATCTGAAGTGTCACTCTCCTCAAACCTAACACCAGTACACAATTGTACTCATATATCAATAACTAATGTTTAAGAGACCTGAGAATCAAATTATAAGTACAATAACAATGCTGACAATTGTTAATACTGCTAAAAATATTACCATAATAATTAGACTATTTTTTAATTATTAAAAAATATTCTAAAGAAGAGTAAAATATTATTGTTGGCGAAATACTTACATTCTTTGTCACTTGTCAATAACGGTACATTGGTAATGCGTAGAAGTTTATTTGCGGGAATTGAGGGTAAGTCCAAATGTTTTATTAGATCCGGTAAACAATAATTTCGTTCACCTGGCCTGTACAATATCTAGCCAACGATAAAGTCAAACAGCTAAGAGTACTTAGTATGTCATCAGTCATGCAAATAAAAAACCTCAATGGGTCTTTCCATGCCAAATCACCTGATGTGCGAGACAACTTCAATGTTTGGCGTTTTACGGAAAGTGCTATATTGAAGAGCCTATAACTTGTCAGGTGATTTGGCATGGAACACGTTTAATAATTCTTAAGTAGACTTAACCTACTTGTTCTGTAGATTTCCGGATCTCGAGGTTAGATAACGTTATCAACTTATTAACATCGCTCAACAGTAGTTCATTTAGCATACCTAACCCCGAGTCTGAACTCATAATATCACTAATATACATATTTTCGTTTTTATAAAATTGCTTGCACAAAGCCAAACACGGTGTATCCTTACCCGAGATTGTTGGAAACATAATTGAAACAAAACCTATTAAGCTCCGTATTTTCTGACAGGTCAGTAGCTTTTATAAAGGCAACGCAGTTGGTGTGGGTTATATTTGATTTAACATAATCAAAAAATAAATCTTGTGCGTGGTTCAAAGAAAAATAATTCGCAAATTAGTCTGCAGGTATCCCACAGACCGGACAATTGGAATAATTGCAGCTGCAAAATGTAAGTATCAACAAAAACCAACAACAGCTATCGTCCAATGTTCTTCACGTGATATTAACTGAATTAAAAGGAGAATCAATTCAAACGAACTATGTGAAATTATGTCATTTATGGCCAGAAAATAAGGATAAATATGATCAGCTATCAAAATTGTCCACGTGTCAGCTGATAAGCTGTCAGGTGTGATATTTGCACAATTTTAAATTTTCCAAATTTCCGGGCAACTTTGGGTACCAGGGTTCTAAATAACACCCGTGGAGCCAAGACAAAATAACTAGGTTTTTTTTTTATATTTTTGTATCTGTCGCCAACTTTTGTTACTAAAAATTATAATCCTACTTGATATTATTCATTTGATGGATATCCACTACATACCTACACTATATTCCATGTAGTGTTATGGTGCAAAATATCCAGTGAATTTATTTATAAGGCAAATCATATCCAAATTGCCATCATTTTAATAGTAATAGACAATTGTCAAAAAAAAAAATTGAATGACGATTAAGGTTTGAATTTTTTAATAAGTCCGTTAAAGTAACACCGTTATTCGACAACAAGCATAACAAAGTTCAACATTTTTCAATAACCAAGATTAGTTATAATAAGGTTGTCTAGTAAAATTTAATTTTTCAGTTACAAGTGTTTACAAATATTACAACTATTAATGTATATGTATAAAAAATATGTAACTACAAAAGTACACTTTTTTTTTTTATAAATTTATACAAACATATGAGTGTATTTAAAAAGTCACCTATTTTACTCATTCAAACACATCTCAAGCGTAGACTTGGTGTATTATTTATTAATTTCATGACATTTTGGTTTGCCTCCTTTTGCCGAAACAGTCGGACACAAAGATCTTCCATTATCGTCGTCACCGCCAAACGAAGAAAACAAAAGAAATCCAGTGTCTGCTGCCGTGGACTTGGCACGGTTATGCCTTAACGATACTGATCAGGGCCCAGAAAAGAACCAAACATCTTGTGTAGGATTTATAATGATTGTACTTTTTCGTTACCGTTTTGGACATTTGTGATCCGACTTATACCATTATTGGCTTGACTGTCTTGATTCTTATTTCTAATTTACAGTAATAACTATTATATAGTGAGCCAGCTTAAACTTACTTTTTTTATAAACAATCTGTTGCAATTTGAACAATAAGCATATTATGTGAATATTGACATTTACCAAGTGGAACTTTTTCTAGACTATGAATTTAATTTGGTTAACCAACTAAGGTGATCTCTGCTCAAATTTTATCTTAGACGATGAAATCGGAGTGGAATCTTAAGTAGGATAGTTTGGCTTGGTTGTATAAGGGGCTGTAGTGATTGTGCTTAGGGTTTTTGATTGGTTGAATTTGATATTAACCGACCAAAACTTCAGGTCTACTACCTACTTTAAATCGGACGAATTAGTGTACTGTGTTTATGCTGAACGCATTTTATGTTATTATATTTCCATACTTTACCTATACTTCTTTTTACTATTTTTTTTTTTTAGAAGGGGAGATAATGTCGACCCGTCAAAAAGATAGTGTGGCAGACGGCAGTAGAGTGGAAATAACTGCCAGTTTTTTTTTTTCTTCGATGGATTTTCCCGTATCTACTATTGGCTCGCTCGTTTATAATAATATATATTATATTTTTTTTTATTTATTACATTCTTTAGCCTCCCCTAGAAGACCAACGCGCTAACGCCTTAACTGCTCGGCATTGTACAATGCACGTTCCCGCAGCCAGTAAATATATAATCCAATACTTCAAAAAAAAAAACGCCATAAGCCCTTTTTACTGTGGACTTATGGTCTGAAAATTGAATTTTTTTTTATATTTACCAGACAAAAACCAAAAGTACCTAGCTAATAACATAATTTATTACTATGCGCGTTTATTCCATAAATATCGATTTTTAATAGGATTGTTTTTTTTTTAACAGCTACTTTATCCAACTTGGTTTGAATACTTTCTAAAAATTGCCTATACTTAATAATTAAAAAAAGGTGGTTTCTAATAGCGGTACAGGTTCCCGGGCTCGGCTCAATTCAATTAGTTTTATAAGTTCATATATATTAGCTCCCACAGAGATTGTAGTAAGCTTTCAACATAAGAAAACAAATCAAATTTCGAAATCAGTCCAATAGATGCGCCATAAAGTGATTTTCTACTAAAGTAGCTTTTTATAAAACTTTTGCCCCGTTACTCGGAAAAAAATAACATTAAAAGTTTTGCAACTAGACAAACTCAATATTGGTTTACCCTAATATAAGATGGCGTACACAATGTGACTCGGAGATCAATTTTTTTTTTTTGCAAAGATGGTGTATCTTATGCCATGTAATAAATAGCTCTTTCGGTCCCCTCGCGCAGAATGCGGTCCACTCGTTCCATGATGGTTTTTGATCAAAAACACCTATTATAAAATCGATAAGAGGGTGACAACAGTATTATGCCATAGCCGGTTGTTCTTTAAACGTACACAAGAAGTAGTTTTTTTTTTTTTGACATTCAAATTTAATGCAAATTATTAATATTTATTATACAAAACGGATATGAAAACATTCCATTAAAAATGTCATTATTTCAATTCGAATAAAAATACTTTTAATGGCAATTTGAACGTTTGTCTTACGCGGTTTAAATACCACTATATAATATGGAAACGATTGATTATATTCAAAATAATTGTTCTGTTGGTCTCTGTCGTCGTTCACCTACCGTTTCCGTTCACCGTGGCGTGTCTCGAAAAGGGAAAAATACAATTATTTTCAATGCAGACCCTAAGTACAAAGACATAGATCATCCAATATAACACATACGTGCATACACTTGGTAATGCACGTGCGACAACGTTTACACTTGCACGCGCGCAGGAATATATATATATATATATTTTTTTTTTTACACGAGCTAAGCCTACACGTGTTGCGGCTTAAGCGCCACATCCCGTTCGGATCGTTATTAAAAACCAGAAAAACAACCCCCCCCCACATACCTGCCCCACGATTTATCGAAGAATCGAACCCCCCAGGGGAAGTTGTACCCCCTTTGTTTTATTAAGAAGCTCGGCGTTGGCCTTTTTTTTTGTCGCAAAATTTAAATTTATATCTTAAACTATATAATGGGCGGCAATAATTATTATTAGTGCAGCAGTCATAGGTGAACAGCTATTTACAAACCGGGAGGGTGTAAAATATGCAAATATACATTTTAGATTTAAGAACTTTTTATTAAAACACAAAGGACGTTCGATTTTCTATCTATTGGTATCGAAATGTGTATTTTGGAACAAAGTGGACTTATACAGAAAACTATAATAGTTTTTAGTATTTCAAAATGTTATGAAATAATTTTCGGTTAAAACCAATTTCTGTATGACGACCACCGTCTAAGATGGTTATTATCAATCGAGTAACACTAAAAAATAAAAATGTCAAGTTCTAAATAAAATCCTTAAAATATACTTTTAAAAAAAACTTGTCTTTCATCATTTCTATTTTAAATGTATTTAATTAAAAAAACAAAATTGGGTAGCTCTTCTAGTTGGAACTCTCAAACTCGAAATACAATTTAAGACAAAAATAAAAATACTTGGGGCTTTCATTCAAATCCACTCCATCTTACCCTATTATTTTACTCATTTATTTATTTATTTATTTATTGTATTTCAAATAAACGCAACATTATAAGACATTATTGTGAAATTTGGAAAAATAGAGGTACACTTTCCACTTAATCGAGCCGTGCTACTGCCTGTAAGGTAAGACCAGCATACATATACAGGGTGAACCAACTAACGTATCACACTCATTTTCTCTGAAAATATGAATATTTTTAAAACATTTTTGTTAACTTTTAGGTACATCTTTTACTACATTTTTCAATATTTATCCCCAATCCTTATAAGCCAAAAATGGGGATATGTTTTTAATTACATAAATTTGTAGACAAAAAATTAAAAAATAATGTTAGCGTTTAAATTTTTTATTTTCATTTATCTGTTCATTATCTATGACTTTGTAAAGACACTACATTTCTTCTTAATAATTATCATACTTCTTCGGTTTTCTAAAACCGGTAGCAAATAATATTCATATTTATGTTCGCATTGTCCAATTGGCGACAACATTCTAATAACTAGTAAGTCACTATGAAATATTTTTAAATAATGATAGACAAACGGTTCTTATCTGCAGATTACTTAGATTACAGGTTATTTATTATGTCTGACTATGATACAGAGTACGGTAACGCGTCGAGTTATTTTTTTTGCCTTGTAATAAAACTACTCGTCTTTGTGGTAACGATTGAAAATGAACAAATATTTAAAAATTTAAACGCTAACTTTTTTTTAAAATTTTTTATGTAAAAATGTATGTAATTAAAAACTTATGTTGCCATTAAAAAAAAAAAACCAAAAATACCCGTTTTTGGCTTATAAGGATAGATGATAAAAATTTTCAAAATATTGAAAAAATTATAGTAAAATATGTACCTAAAAGTTTGGGGGGAAAAAAATTTCTCGAAATATTCATAATTTCAGAGAAAAACGAGGGTCTACGGTAGTTGGATCGCCGTGTACGATCAAGACGATGATATTATTTATTTATTTATTTTCGTTTTCGTTATCGTATCCTATTGGGAAATTTCGATGAAAATCATCGCCTCGGCTTTGATTATTGCCGACCACCGGCTCATTGTAAACGCGTGGCGGCCGGCCCTCCGAGACCGTAGAGAGGCGCGGCGGGCGGGACGGCGCGGTGTGGCGCGAGTACGGCGGGGTGTGGGCGCGCGTAGGGCCGGGCGTGCGCACCGGCCGCCCGCGGACGAACGCAGCCGCCGCCGCTCGGCGTGCTCAAAGGACGCCCAACGCGCGCGACACATTATGGATTTGCCGAGCCGTCCGTCGAGTCGTCCCGTAGCCACAGCCATCGTCGCACCGTCTGCGCCGCAGTCGTCCCAGCCGAGTTGTCGTCGCGGAACATTCGTATAGTAAAAAACGAGATTCTATTTTTTTTATTTAAAAAAAAAACCGCCGTTAAAAAAATCGCCTAATTTTTTTGGCTTTCTCGGTAAAAAAAGTCCCCCCCCGCTCCCCCCCTCCACACTCCGCCGCAAACCGATGAGAAAAAACAGCCGCCAAGGTGGTCGGACCGCTGGCCAGCAAACGCCGGCGGGCAACCCGCTTCGGAATTAGTGTGAGTATTTTTTGTGTGTTTGTTTTTTTATCGATATAAGATATACGTATATAATTAGGTCCCTTTGCCACCCCCCCCCCCCATTTGCTCCCACGGTGTAGTAAACAAACGACGGAGGTCTCTAGTTCTAGAAACCGGCTAAAAGCAATTTTTCCAAAAAAATTTTAATTTCACATTATACAATAAAGAATTTTATCAATCAGATTTCCCAGGCACAGTTTTTTTTTTAGTTTGGTACAAAATATATTTAGTAACAGATATTCAATGATAGTTTTTTACATACAGTGTGGTCACTTCAAAATATGTTTTAGCCTATTTATTTCAAAAACTATACTGCTCAAACGTTCAAATACCAATATATTACCTATATTAATTAATCTTAAGTGCGCGGCGAGTCTGTGTACGCGAATGTCGAGTCCGCCGGACGGACTTGAAAATTAAAAAATAATAATAACTAAAATATTACACACGGTTAAGTGTATTGGCAGATATCGGTTGGATTAGGGGGGCTGGAGATTCTAAAAACCATATAAAACATTAAAAAATCAGCGCTAAGTTTGTTTTTGACAAATCTACCACTGAAAAATAAACGTAGGCGTTTTAAAAAGCAATCGTTTTAAGTTTAATATGGTTTTTAATATCCCAAGCCCACCCTCAACCCTTGGTCTCCGCCATTGGTCAATTGGGATAATATTGTAAACGAATAATATGTAAACGCGATAAATTTGTTTTTATATATTATGTGTAAAGAACCAACAATGTTTGTACAATGTTACGTGTATCGAATTAAACGCTTCAATTACTTACTTTTTTCGAAAAGTATCATTTACGCTCGTCTCCCCCTCTTCACATTCGTTTACAATATTACCCCACTCGATCCCATGTGTACCTATTTGATAAAAAAAAAAAAATAATCATATCTATAAAAATGATTTTTGCACGGAGACGCGCCGCGTTTTCCTATATTATTATTGGTTTACACGATAACAAAGAGGACAAATTTTCGATTGTTATATTCAGTTAATTAAACGGCAAAAATTTTACATTTTACTCCCCATGATTGATAAGTTTAAAATAGTATATATTAATATTGAAATATTCAGCCCTCACGAGAGCGACAAGAAGTTTAGAAACTGAAAACTTGTTATAAAACCTTTACAAATCCAGTGTAGCTGCTCACAAACATGAAATAGTTACCTAATTTTAAGAAATGTTACAACTTTTAACAGTTTATTATGTCCGTCGATAGTGTCAATCTAGCTATTTAATATTTTTATAGGTATATTGTAATGTTTTAATTAAATAGCTTTTTCCTCTTGGCCTAGTATTATTACTTTTGTAATATTATTGTGCGCGTTGCATATGGAGGTGGTGTAGTTGTTTTTTTGTTAAATAAAATATTATGATTGATTTAAAAAATTGTTAAAATCAATAAACGATTTTACTTGTGTAAAAATTAATGTTATGATATTTCCACAGTATTATGTAAACACAAAAAGGCTCCTGGCGAGCGAGATGGCTTAAGTAATTATCTGACTTTCCGCGTACAATACAATGTCCCGCCGGTGTACTACAGTGTATTTTATTAACCCTTTCAGCCATATAGTACATCCCAAGCACACACACGCCTTCGTTTTTGTTCTGTGCTTTATGGACATTATTTGTATATTATACGTTTTAAAAACGTTTTAAATTTAGTTTAATTAAATTCGTGACTGGAAGGGTTGTGGAGCAAGTCTTATGCGCTTCGTCGGTTCTTTTAGATGCGACCCCGCTTTATGTTTTACTGTGCCCCTCCCCGTCCATTACATTGTGACCGACGTTAATGTATGCAGGTGGGAACTATTTTGTTCATGGGCCGAGCATATTAAATATATAATAAACCTAGGATAATAAATCCGAACAGCATAACGAACAATTGAGATCACTTAAATTAAATACCGGACAAATCACCCGAGCATTAGGCTAATAATGCCTTTATATGTTAACTCGGACGTTGTACGATAATAATAATAATATCATACGCCGTTTGCGTTGAATTCAATTGGCGTTAAAAAGTTTACAATTGGAACCGGGTCGTTTAACCGTACACAAAAGTTTCCTATCTCGATCCACCAATTTCGGAGTACCGCTCATATACATATCAATATGCTTTATCCCTCGGGATAACCGTCGCGTCGGCTACTGGGATGGTGGGAGGGGGTGGTGGTCGGTAGACTAGAAAGGGTATTTCCGCGTTATTGCAAATATCCGACGGGGTTCGCACGGGGTCGATCGAAATTGAAACCGACGTCCGCGTAAAACGCCAAACCAAACTAGTTTATTCAATTATTATTATTATCGGGTAGTTTAGCGCTTAGTGTAGTATCTGGACAAACGTTTGAACCGTCGCCGCAATGTCGCCTTTGCATTGCCCCCAACGGTTTGCATTGACTCGAGTCCTTTTCGAATATACGAATATCCGTTGAATTGGATCCGCTGTAATCCTTCAGTCGCCACTAATTGATCAAGAGCCGGCCGGGTTCACGGACTTAATTCTCGAATAAATGTGTATAGATCTTTTGAAATACACTAGAGGACCTGATCGGGTAACTCTGCAAATTTACCATCTAACAGGCGTACTTAGTGGCACAACAGACCTAATCAACAACGGACTTACAAAGTTGATCCGTCAAAAGCATTCGACTTGAGAGAATTTTTCAGAATTTCATCGCTTTGCGGCCGTTGTTAAAAGCTGTTATTTCTCCAACGTCTAGTACACTGCGAGATTGCCGAAACGTTGGCAATCAAGCCGTTTCGACCAAGTGGGAGTGTCCGTGAGTCACATAAATAAAATGTTTCCTTTGATTCTTCGTCTAAAGAAACTGTGCCGCGACGCCCTCCGGTTTGGACTCCGGACAAAAATATTTAATTAACAAACGGACTCGGCGTCGAGTGAGAAGCTGTGTGTCGTCGCAGAGCGAGGGTGACCGTATTGGACTTGTCTTTCAATCTTAGACGAGGGATTTGAAATAACAATATTATTATCATCATGCCGTCTTATTTCCATCGCAACGTCAATCTCATTGCTTTGCCGTTAAATGTTCTTGTATTCATTCAAGTAATGCGCTGTGTATGTGCCCCTTTGCTATTTAACCGTCTAAGATTATGAGGGTTCTTCGAGCGTTTACCAATAGAAAATTACAAACGCAGTAACCTTTTGATCGTTGATCTGTTTAGGACCGGTATACCTGAGTTTTCCTAAAAACCCTACAACCTTCTTGGTAACCACCGCCGCCTCTTTGCTGTTTGTTCGGCGAACGGTGGTAACATTAGACCGAGCGGAATGAATAGGATTCAACGGGAGCACTTTTACGGAGACGTACACGTGCGCCTGTTGGTTTTCAATCATAATAATAGCGCACTCTTCTTCACTATTGTCACGACCGTTGCTGCTGGAAATAATAATAATTATGTCGAACCCCCCTAATTGCGTGTGCCGACAACGGGAAACGGTTAGCAGCAGAACAAGAGAGCCGCCTGGAATGCGCACACAATGGCCGGCCGAGGTCGACGTGCCCTTTGCTTACTTTATTAAACCCCACCCCCGGGACTGCTGCGTTTGAATCCCTGTACCGTTTACAGGTGTAGTAGGCCAAGAGGAGAACAAACAGCAGGAAGGGTCGGGAGATTATATTTTAGAGGACCGGGACGGGTCGAACATTTCAATGTTGGAATGGAATTCGAATGCGACACAAAACGACGCGACCGACCGGAAACGGTCTCAATCCTTTCAATCGAGCCGACCGGAACTCCGAGCAGATTTCCACATTAACCTCGGGTCAATACGAACTTGTTCGACTGCACGACGTCCGGAATAACTTAAATCTCGGCCTTACAAGACGTGTAACAGCTAGCCCCTCCATACGACTTGAGATGATTCGTTGACTTTCCTAGATCCACCTTCCGTCTAAACTAAAATCTAGTTACATAGCGATTAAATATAGGAATTCACATAAAGTTTTATTGATAATGGAAATATATTTTGCACCTTTAAAATGTATTTTATGTTCAAAGAGTCTTTGAAAACTTTTCTTTTTTTTCTGCCTTTGAATTTACCTTTTTTGGGCCTCAATTTCAATTACCTATAATTGCCCGAAAGAATCGATGATAATCCATTTGGGAACGCCCGAAGTAGACATTATGAAAACATTCAGAAAATATATATATATATATATATTCCATCGAAAAACGTTCATTGAAAAAGTGAATGGTTTTATAATAATAATTATAATAACGACTAATATTGATCAAAAAAGGTAACAATATTAGGTTAAGAGTTTACTTTATGCTGCAAAATAAAATATAAAACTTGAGAATTTCAACACAACTAGTCAATTTTTTTTTTTTATTACAGTCAACTTAACCTTTTCGAAGAAACAGGAATAGTGTAGTGAAAATAATTTTGTTTTCGAATCCACTAGAGTTGGACTAATGAGTTGACATCGGCTTGTTAATTCACTAAAAACTTTATCTTTTAACTTGATTTACCAATAGTTCGTTTGACTTGACGAAGTTGAAAGTAAAGTATTAACTCGATTTCGACTTAGCGTTGTAGTTTCATATTATCTAATTAATTAAACGAATATTTCCGCCGGGAAAAATGTAGACTTTGTACATTTTGTAAACCAACTGAAACGCGTGCGCCATTACTATTCGCAGTTGGTTTACTATATCAATACTACCTTTGCCCCTAAAAAAAAAAAAGTTTACATTACAATCAAAAAGGTTTCACAGTTTTGTAAACGGATTGCCTATGTTTTACCCCTTGATAAAAACCAACGCGTCAAGCCCTAATACTTTTAGGTCGAATCCTGGTTATTTTTTGTTTTAACTTGTTGGGATAAGTCGTACTGGACTAAATATTTTTTCGGTAACTTCTACGGTCGACTTGGTCTCGACAAATTGATTGAACTCGGTGCGTTTGTTTTTCTGTGTTTGTTGTACTACCACCCGCGCCC